GAGAGAGAAGTGCTCGTTCGATCGCGGCGCTACAATGTTTGGTTTTTCTATAATACAAAGAGCCATATGTATCTTATTTTTTTAAATTGCTCAATTTGTACCTGGGAGTACAATAAAAGTAACAGTTCAAATTCAAAGTTGTTTAATTTTGTCATATCATGTTGCACAATCATATTAGTCCTCTTGTCAGAAAAAAAAACAGTTTAATATCTAGCAATAATAAAAAAGATTTTTTTGATATCAAAAAGGAAAAGAAAGTTGTTATTTCAATTTAAAATATACTCTGTTATGTTTGTGAAATTCAGTGGTTAAAATTCTCATTTAAAAGATACATAAATTGAACACAGTTAAGCTTGGACATAGTATAGTAGTCCCAGAGTTGAGCAATTTTAATTAATAAATTGAAACAATTCATATACATGGAAATATATACATTAATCAAGTAGATCTAACCAAAAGTATGTTAATGCGCGTGGAATGCATAATTTTTATACGCCCGTTTACGGGACGTATTATGGTATACCTCTGTCCGTCCGTCCGTCTGTCCGTCCGTCGTCAACATGTCGGACATTAACTCGAAAACGCTTTAACCAATTTGCATAAAACTTTGGTGAATTGTTTATATCTATTGACGTGAGCTCCCTTTCGTTTTTTATAAATTTTAGATTTTACGTTTCCGAGTTATGGGGTTTTATTCATTAAAAAAAAGGGGGATTATCCAGTTTTCGGACAATAACTCAAGAATGCTTTCACCAACTTGCAAGGAATTGTGGTAAATTGTTTATATCTATTGACATGAGGTCCATTTCGATTTTTATAAATTTTAGATTTTACGTTTCTGAGTGACAGGGTTTTATTAAAAAAAAAAGGGGGGAATTTCCAGTTTTCGTAAACAAAAACTCAAAAATGCTTTCAGCAGTAGTTCTTATGAAACTTTGGTGAAATGTTTATATCTATTGATGTAAGCTCCCTTTAGAATTTCATAAATTTTACATTTTACATTTCTGAGTTATGGGGTTTTATTCATTAAAAAAGGGGGGATTTTCCAGTTTTTGGACAATAACTCAAAAATGCTGTCAGCAATTCTCATGAAACTTTGGTGAATTGTTTATATCTATTGATGTAAGCTCCCTTTTGATTTTCATAAATTTCTAATATGATATTGAGACTTGAACTTTATTTGTTTATAGTCTGACAACCGATTTACTAAGTATTGCGCAACAGCACAGTGTATTGCACAACAGCAAGAAATCTTTAATTGAATATAAATTCAATTCATATAACGGTTAAACCAGTTTCAAGTTCTTTGACTACATTTATTCAGAAACCTCGATATATGTCAAATATTTAATTACAATCCAAATTCAGACCTGTATCAAGCTTGAAAATTGTGTCCATTTTTGCCCCAACTGTTCAGGGTTGGACCTCTGCGGGTGTATCCAGCTGTGCTCAGCGAAGCAGTTTATTCCTTTTGGGATCAATATTCCTCTGTCAGCTGTGCCATTCATTCTTCAGTAGTCATTATCGTAAGAATCCGGATTTTGGTCATAGCTGGTCCGGTTCAAATCGGTAGTTTAGTACAAATATTTCAATGGCGGACGAAGAAGAAAAATTTACAAAAATAAACGATGTTTGACACGCTATTTGGAAAGGAATATGATGTTTTTAATGCAATACATGGATAACAAATTTACTTAAGGCAAATTTCATCACGTTCTAATGAAGTAACGAACTTATTTTGCCGCAAATTAGAATGATTTGATGTACGCTCTCTAACAAGTACAGAAAGTGATAAAAAATTGTTTTTATGAATATTATAACATGCAACCAACTTTAAAATCAATGCTTTAACCTCTTTTCTGAAGAAAATAAATCGTTTATGTCTTTGAATATCTTTACTTTTACTGAAAAATTGCTGTTTCATCGACTTGGTAAAAATTGAATATTGCTGATGACGAAAGCGACTGAAAGCGAGTATCGTAAACCACAGGGCGACTAGTTTTCGCTTTTGAGGGTCGGGCAAAGCGAAGTGACGGACGGGAAAGCGACATCGTCGCCTGGTAGCGTGAGCCCTGCTGCTAATATTAAGTCAATGATATTTGGTATGCAAATTTATTGGCATTTGCAAGTATCGTCTCCATGGAGATTATATAGCCCCACCCCTGATCATGGTTCATTGACTTTGAAACTTTTACATAGTTTACAAGTTAATGTTTGTGTTTAGGTTTGTTTAAAGGGAACGACTTATAATAAGTCAATGGTATTTGGGTATTTGGTATGCAGTTGTATTAGCATTGGCACATCTTATTCCATGGAGATTGTTTAGCCATGTACCTTCAGTCATGGTTCATCGACTTGAAATTTTTGCATAACTTACATGTTAAAGTATTAATTGCTATTTTAATTTCAACATTTGCATTATCAAAATTATAAAAAGGTGAGACATATCTCTGTGATAACAGTTTACAAAAATGGTTTATTTGTGTCTTTGTTGCCGGTGGACAAGTTAAAATAATTTTGCTTGACAATGTTTTTTTTTATAATCCTATAGAAAAGTCCTCAAAATTTATTCATCAAAGTAGAATAATATCAAATAACAAGATGAAAGCAACATGTTTGTTTTTTGACTTTAATTATTTATCCCTTGTAATTTTTTATTAACTGTATTTGCATTCAGGTGTCACAGGTCAAATTTATTCGTTCATTGTGTGTTTATTTACGTTTTTTGATTGAGTTAAGCCTTCCAATTGATATTTTATAGTGTGTTTTTCTATGTTGTGATGTTATACTATTGTTTCAGAAAAGGAAGAAGGTTTGGTACCATTAAAACGTTTAATCCCGCTGCAAATGTTTGCACCTGTCCTAAGTCAGGAATCTGATTACAGTAGTTGTCGTCTGTTTATGTAGTTCATACGTGTTTCTCGTTTTTATATAGATTAGACTGTTGGTTTTTCTGTTTGAATGGTTTTACACTAGTAATTTTTTGGGGCCCTTTATAGCTTGCTGTTCGGTGTGAGCCAATGCTCCGTGTTGAAGGCCGTACCTTGACCTATAATGGTTTACTTTTATAAATTATAACTTGGATGGAGAGTTGTCTCATTGGCACTCATACCACATATTCCTATATCTATTAAGTAAAACAACATCAATGACAATGAATGATAACATCATGTTTTCAATCATAATTTCTTGAACGGTTTTAAACAGTTGTTTAAAAGTTACATAGTAGAAACGTATTTATAAAAATAAACTTCTCATAGACTAAATCATCACTTTACAATATCAAGTCACATGACTGGCGATCACCTGATACATTAGAAAAAATGGCGGTTTATCTTTTCAAAATGAGCGTGGTTTATTCAATTTTCATACACTTTTCTTCTACTCTCCATTATGAACAAATACAAAAACAGTAAGTTATGACAACAAGGAACACAGAGGCTAATTTAACCGACAACAAAAGCTTTATTGTGTCTTTATTACATTGTATTAAGACATGGCAAATTTCTGGATTGCAAACAGATGGACAAATTTACACGATAAACGTAACTACAGAGATATAAAATTTATTTTATTTGAATAAAACATGACAAATCAAGAACAATAAGATACATATTACAAATATAATGTAAAACATAAAAACAATCGAGGTTTTAGCAAAAATATTCCGTTCTCTTCACTTCTGGAAATTTCTTTGTCGGAGTTTGGACCTGAAAAAAGACTAAGAAAATGTCTGTAGGCATGTATAAGGCGCTCCCCTCTTACAAGAAACATGACCCAGGGTATAAATGTGCGCACTATACATACCAAAAGATGGTATCTGAAATAATCTCCAATTTACAACTGGCCTACCAAAAGTGTTTTTTGGGGGGAAAAAGGGGGGGGGGGGGGCAGGGCAAACAACAAATTATTCAATAATTTATCAATTATTTGGTTTTCATCTCCACATAAGTCTTGATATAATCTCCCAGGTTTATGTAAGCTAGCAACGAAAAATAATTTGCAAAATTTGCCTCTCGATTCTTTAGTTTAACTCGTCCTGAACATGCATGAAATATTTGCCACTGTACGTTAAGCACCCAACAATCTATCAATCTTGAGTTTAAAGTTGTTTTTTTTTTGGTTGGTTTCTATCTCATTGGTGTATATCTACTTATATTTCTATCATTCTAACATACAAACAAAGACCATAAATACCATTTTCATTGTGTTCCAAACAGGTTTAGAAACATACATATTTACAGTAAAATACATCTTCATTCCTAAATTCATTAGGAAATCAGGGCGAGTAACTTTTCTTCCGGGCACGTTAAATTTACATTTTCACTTGCCCGGGGACAAGTGGTCACAACAAATATTTCCACACCCCTGATTGATGGTCAAATGATATTCAAATCAAACCAAACGTTGCATTGACTTAAAGCTTTGTCAAAATAATGTTCAGGATTCTGTTATTTCATTGTATCGCTAAACATGCTAAAGGAAATTGGAAATATTCAGAAAGACAAAATATAATGGAATGGCAACCCCAAATGTCCTAGTAAATTTTGCTTGGAAATGGGGCTCATTGTCACATAAGTATGCTTAAAGAAGTAAATTGTGATAATTTACTCTTGGCATTTTGGCCCTTTTGGAAAATCAGAATGGGACAATTTAATAATTTTTGTGCCAATGGGGCAAGGCCAGGTCCCCAGAGAAGAACTTATGATGTATATTATGGCCATATTTTACAAAAGGTTATGACAAACCTTAAGAATTAGTCTTGACTGAAAAAACACCCTTTCTGGACCCTTTCAAGGTATATATAGACCCTCCACATGTGTCTATTGTTGAAGACTGCATGCTGACCACTAGATGTCTTTTGGTTGTTTGTGGCATGGGGCTGCTGTCTCATTGATATGATTGATGTACATGTATTCATTTTTACCCACTAAATCCAGTTATGCATATGATATGATTGAAAATTATTTTAATAAATGTAATTATTTTGTACATTTTAGACTTTTAAACAATGGCAGAAAGACCTGAAGATCTCAATCTTCCAAATGCAGTTGTAACCAGAATTATAAAAGATGCCGTAAGTATTGGAAAATAAAGTTTTAATTCATTAGAGCTGCAATTATTTCTGTTGTATGGTATTTCTTACACACTAAAGAAGTCATATGTAAGGAAATTAAAGTACCTATTCAGTCAACATTCTACTTCATCGAAATAATTTCCCCATTACACCACTTAATTTTTGTAATCATTAAAATCAGTGTTCCAGCTAGGTCGTTTTCACAGGGCGGTCCGCCCGCCCTTTCCCGAGTGCCGCCCTGTGCCCTTTTTACAGTTTGCAGGGCGCCCTGCCTTTTTTGAAGATCGATTGGTATATTATTTTGTTCGTATTGATATGATCAGCCAATTACAAAAATTCACCTGGCGACAAGTATATGACTTTGTTTACAACCCCAAGCTAATCAACGGTTACAACAGGTGTCATAATCTGTTGTTATAGGTAATCCGTTTATCGGATGGGTCATTTAATGATCATCAACATTAATTCGTTCAAATAGAATCGGTCAGTCGGCATTTGTCTCTGAACTTGAAGACATGTTCATACAACTTGGGCACAATTAGCAATGTTTACCGTAGTTTCATGGAGAAAACGTAATTGACAGAAGGTCGAAAACCATAATCAACTCGTTAAAAACATTGCTCTTATTGTTTTCCGTGAAATAAATAGCAAATTTAGACATATTTTTCATTGACTGCCTTCATTTTTTATACGAAAATAACAAAATCGGCCGCCATATTGTTGATTGTATTTACATCTTCTACTGTTTATTATCCTCCAAAGAAGGAGCACACCCAAATAAAGAAAGATAACTCAATCTTATTTTTTCCTAGCATTGAGTAACCTACTAAGATATTATAAAATATGTCTTCATACTTCTGGCTTTAGAATTTATATGTTTAGGTGTTTTGAGTTATGGGAAAAGTTAAAGAGGGTCTTAGTAGCAGGGTTGGTAGGGTGCCTTGGTCATCTTTTTCTGTATTTTTTATTTTCAATCCAAATTTTCACTGTTCACTATATCCTAACATTGTGCATTTACAGCTGTTTTGTGCTGTATTGCCATTAAGCACAGAAAAGGTAGAAAGGTGAAACTTGTAAAGTGTGTCAGACCATAGAAACAGAATGAAGCAGGACATTTTTCAAAAAATACTGCATATAAAGCTTAACTGTGCCAAGCAATGATTTAAAACTTGTGTGACAAGCTGCTTGACAAGTTTTCAGCCTAAAAAGTAGAAAGATAGTTTTTCTCTGGGCTAATGATGTTGTTCTTGTATATATATAACCAGTGATTCAATGAACAAACAATGTTTGATTATAATCTTTATTAAAACATGCCCTTTTCATATTATCATATCACACGTTAAATGCCCTTTTTCAGAATTGGCACCCTGCCCTTTTGAAATCCTAGCTGGAACACTGAAAATTGAAGCCATTATAGTGATGACGCGTTGTTAATTTAGCTCTTGAAACCGATAAATTTATTCACATAGCATCATAACGATCCTTATATGCCAGTTGTGTTTTAAAAGACAAATGTATCCACTAGCTATTGAGCATCATTTAATGTACTTTTATACATTTGGTCAACTTAAAACTAATGTCTGATCAGTTGTCAGGGGGAATTCTCGAAAGTTCAAAAATATTTAAAAAATTCTAATTAAATATTTCATGGAAGGGCAGACTAAAAATTTTCAGAGGTTGAAGAACTGTAGATAACACACACAAAAAAAGAAAGTTTTTTTGAAGTTATGCATTTTTAAGATCCACTTGAAAAGTCTGTAGTCAAGTACTTTCATTAAAAAATTGTTATTCGAACACACCTACTCTGTTGTTATGACTCATTAGATAGGTATTTCACTTGACCCATATATTTCAGTTTTTTGTACTGTAAATTTTTAATGTTATTATATCAACCTATAGCCTAGCTAGATATATAAAAATAATGGAATCTAAAGCGAGATGATGTATCAAATATTTTTTTTTTATATGTTTTCTAGACAGAATAGTCAACTCAAACATGCCTGAATATAAACAGATGTACTCAACTTTCTCTTTTCAATGAAATTATTGCCAATTTTGGGGATTTTTTCCCAAAAAACTGTCGCCGGGGGCAGAGATGCAGATTAATGCTTTAAAAAGATTAATCTATTATCTTTCTTTGGAATTTTTTTCGGCGGAATTGATGCTTATGCTCAAAAAAGATCCACATGTATTTGCACCTACCACAATCGACTGTTTTGTGAAAATTTGTCTATAATTTAAAAGTTTACAAAAATTCTCGAACCTCCATACTATAATTTAAGTAAAGACACATAAGATACATAAAATCCTAAATTAGGCACATTCATTAAACTTTTAAAGCCCATAGAAACAGATGTATACAATTCAAAGTAACCAACTTGGCCTTTTTTACCTTCTCTAACAAAGAGTTCCGTTTCTTTTGTTTAATTTCAACTGGGTTTCCACCTGTATTGTAATTTTGGTCCCTTATTGTTCCAAACATACCCAAAATGTTTTATTCATACTACATGTATTTTGAAACTTAAAATGCATTTAAATTTTATTTATCTAGGTACAGTATAAATACGGCCATATTTGTAAAAATGTTTTATTCAGCCAAAAGTGATGTTGAACATCAGTAAATAACATAATTTATTCATATGACATGTATAAAATTGAGAATGGAAATGGGGAATGTGTCAAAGAGACAACAACCCGACCAAAGAGCAGAAAACAGCCCAATAACCTGTACATAAACATGATAAATAAACCTTTACTCCCGTAGTTTGTGAATTTGATATTTGTTTTAGATGTGATTTCCTATTACAAGACTTTGTTGGAAATAAGTGTGATAATATGATTTAGATATTTAAGAAATTTATATTATATAGAAAATCACAACTTTAATCCAGTCCTAATCATTTCAAAGGTGCATACTTTAAAACTGTATGCTATGATGTTAGTTGCCATGAAAGAACATAGCTGTGCTTTACTTTTATTATATATATTCTTATAAATTATACAATTAGGCCAATTGAGGAATACCAACTCATGTTAGCCTCTACATTGTAGTTGCCAGTGGTTGTCTCTTATATTATCTCCATCTTGTCTCCTTATTTTGTCATTTTTATGCCCCCGCTGTTCCATTTTCGTTTCCACACTCTAACTTAAGTTTGCCTCATGCAAATTTTATGAAACTCATACACAATGCTGAGAACTAAAACTTGCAGACAGAGTTTGAATTTTGGCAGTGAGTCAGTTAACAGTCTAGAGTTATGCCCCTTTATACATTGGAAAATTGCAAATTTTTTCGTATCCACATTCTTAAGTTTTACTCGTCCAAATTTTCTGAAACTCGTACACAATGCTAAGAACCAAAACTCGTAAACAGAGTTCCAATTCGGGTAGTGAGTCACTAACTGTTCTAGAGTTATGCCCCTTTTTAACTTGGAAAATTGCAAAGCTTGAACGGGGCATTCATGTCCTCAGAAACATTCTTCTTTTATTGTATTATATATTATGTTTTCGATGTACTTGATATGACATATTGATATTTTATTTATCAGATCCCAGAAGGTGTTAATATATCAAAAGAAGCCAGACTAGCTATATCTAAAGCTGCCAGTGTGTTTGTTTTATACGCTACATCATGGTGAGTGACCTTTAACAAATTTATGACAATCAATACTATATTTGTATTGCACAATTTTGAAAATGTCATGTACTGTTGTCAATAAAAGGGAGTTCAATAGAAATACTTTTAAAAGTAGAGTATCTAAAGTGTTAATGTTTTTTGATGCCCCACCTAGGGGCATTATGTTTTTCGGTCTGTGCGTCTGTCCGTTCGTTCGTTTGTTCGTTCATCCCTCTGTCCAGCTTCAGGTTAAAGTTTTTAATGTTAAAGTTTTTGGTCAAGGTAGTTTTTGATGAAGTTGAAGTCCAATCAACTTGAAACTTAGTACACATGTTCCCTATGATATGATCTTTCTAATTTTAATGCCAAATTAGAGTTTTGACCCCAATTTTACGGTCCACTGAACATAGAAAATGTTAGTGCGAGTGGGGCATCCGTATACTATGGACACATTCTTGTTTTTAAAGAATTATTGGAACAATCGTTCCTATTGCCTCATGGTTATACTTAGATGTTAACCTTTTTCTGACTTTCTTAGGATCATGTGTTTGTTATGTATAGATCATGTAACTTGTCTGGAGGTAGCTGAAGCACCTAGAGGAAACCACATACTTTATTAAGGAAAGCAGCAATCCTTGTCAATATAAAGAACAGATTGCTTACATCCACTTTATTGGAACTTTGGTGGATAGTTGTCTCATTTGCAATCATACCTCATCTCCTTATTTTTATAGTCAAATGCACCTTGCCACAAGCAGAGTTTGAACTCACAGGGTCAGAATTGACAGGCTTGATCACTGTAGACGAATTACTGAGACCAATGATAATTAGCTATATATAGGCCCATATGTTTATTCTAACTGAAAAATAATCATTTTGTTTTTATTTTTTTTTTGTCTTTAGTATGCGAGACATAGGTATTACTATCCGGCGGCGGCGTAAACTATTTGTGTAAAATTTATATTTCAGAAGGTGGAAGACATGGCTGCTTCATACCTTGCATGCAGATACCTTATGTTACGAAGTTTCCGTCTGTCATATGCCCATTGTCCTTGACCTCATTTTCATGTTTCAGTGACTGCTTGAAAAAAAAAACCAGTTTTGTCATGTAAATTTCTCACTTATTATGAGTAATAAGATAACTATATTTGGTATATGGGTTCCTTGCAACGTCTACATGTCTGTCAGACAGGGTTAACCTGACCTCGACCTCAATTCATGGATCAGTGATCAAGGTTAGATACGTGATTAGGTCCATTTCTCAGATACTACAAGCAGCAGGTCAACTATATGTGGGGTATGGAATGATTGTAAGGGGTAAATGTCAAACTGGCAGGTTTCATCTGACCTTGACCCCATTTTCATGGTTCATTGGTCATTGTTAATTTTTGTGTTAGTAAAGCAGGTGAGACATTTCAGCATGTGCACCCTTGTTTTAAATTAATGGAAGATGGATGCAAAGTAATGATAATAGCTTATTGTCTTTTTGCATGATGTAATAAAAATTAGATGAAATATTATATTCATTTTTAGTGCCAATAACCTAGCATTGAAAGGAAAAAGAAAGACAATTTCAGCTACAGATGTAATTAGTTCAATGGAAGACATGGAGTTTGATCAGTTTGTAGAACCCCTGAAACAAGTTTTAGAAGGTAATTTGTTTTTATTGGTGGTTAAACATTGTTTTAAATCATAGCTATACTAACTTCATAATGATTGAGATTCCAAAAGAGAATTAATTTTTAACTATTTAAAGCATTTTAGAACATTTCTTTTCTATAGTTACCTTCTAATTGAACAAAGTTATAACACTATCACACGTTCACATTATTTTAACACATCACAAAATTTTCTGAATTAACAGTATTTAGCATTATGCTTATATTCTTTTTGGCTTAAATGTTGAATGTCCCATTGCAATTTTTAAGAGACATTTTTTACTATTACCATATTTGGCATATGCATGTACAATGTAAAAGTTAAATCTACCACACAATTCTTGCATTTCATTGTCTAATTACTTGCATGTAAGGAGTTATATATATAAATACTATATCTTTATGCAATAGGAAAAAAAGTATTACATAGAGTTATCATGGTTGTAGAAGAAAAGGAAATTTCTAACTAAAAATTCCTGTTACTTGTATTGTACTTGTATATCTGAAGGATACAACTTGGCAGAAATTATGATACATTCAGTGGTTCAATGTCCATTGAATTTTATTGGAATCCTTATTAGAACCATCTCTTAAAGTTTTTTTTGCAGATCTCTTCAAAAATTGGCTGGAATTATGTCTTTTAAGAGAATTTTTCATTTTATAGTTGTCAAATGAAAACACAGGTACCACATAAAATACAGATTCTCATTGGTCTTTTTCAAATTTAAAAAATGTGATGGATATTTAAGGACAGGTTTACTCTTAAAGGATTAATAGGCTTTATTATTTTTGAGAGTTTCCATTTGTGACGTACAATAGAATACAGTAAATTCAGTAATTGATGCATGCTTTGATTATTGCGAATCCTTGACCTCTGCCAAAAATGTGAAGTCTTATTAATGCTACAATGTATTACAAAAAAATTATGAAGGAAAATCACTTCTGAAATTATGAATGCGAGTTTTTACTTTTGCGAACCTGATACTGTCGCATTTTTTTGCATAAATTTATAAAACCATTGCAATAATTTCTGAACTTACAGAATATGGCTTGTTTATCAGATGAGAGGTAACCTTATGTAATGATCAGTTCATGTTGTGTTTGACCTTGTTCATCACTGAAGAGACATGAGGGTCTGCATGGGGGTCCTTCATTTCTTTACTCTTTAATTTTTATAGACCAATTTTCTCTATTCTTTATCTATTTTGGCCATTATTCTCTATTCTATTTTTTTTTGCCTTTTTGTCGAGCCTTCGACTTTTGTCGAAAAAGCGAGACATAGCGATCCTACATTCCGTCGGCGGCGGCGGCGGCGTCCACAAATATTCACTCTGTGGTTAAAGTTTTTGAAATTTTAATAACTTTCTTAAACTATTCTGGATTTCTACCAAACTTGGACAGAAGCTTGTTTATGATCATAAGATAATATTCAAAAGTAAATTTTGTAAAAAAAAAAATTCCATTTTTTCCGTATTTTACTTATACTTATAAATGGACTTAGTTTTTCTGTCAGGAAACATTACATTCACTCTGTGGTTAAAGTTTTTGAAATTTTAATAACTTTCTTAAACTATCCTGGATTTGTACCAAACTTGGAAAGAAGCTTGTTTATGATCATAAGATAGTATCCATAAGTAAATTTTGTAAAAAAAAAAATCTATTTTTTCCGTATTTTACTTATAAATGGACTTAGTTTTTCTGCCAGTTAACATTACATTCACTCTGTGGTTAAAGTTTTTAAAATTTTAACAACTTTCTTAAACTATCCTGGATTTGGACAGAAGCTTGTTTATGATTAAAAGCTAGTATCTAAAAGGAAATTTTGTTAAAATTTTGTTCCATTTTTTCCGTATTTTACTTATAATTGGACTTAGTTTTTCTTCCAGTTAACATTACATAACAGTCTGCAGTTTAAGTTTTTAAAACATTTATTTCATAAACTATCCTGGATTTTTACCAAACTTGGACAGAAGCTACTTACAATCAAAAGATAGTATAGAGAGGAATATTTTTATTAATTTTTTTCCTCAATTTTGTTGAGCCTGTGATTAACAGCAAAAGTAGGCGAGACACTGGGTTCCGCGGAACCCTTACAAATTTTTTTCTCTATTCTTTATTTTCTTTGCCCTTTCTGCATGTTTTGCCTAATATTCTCTATTCTGTAAACCCCATTCAGACCCTCAGACATTAATTTTCAAGTTGCACATCTATTGCATTAACATTAGAACTGTTTAATGTTATAATATGTTGCAATGTTAGTTTAAATGTCATTTAATTTACAGAATACAGGAAAGAACAGAAAACTAAAAAGGATGCTGCATCAGAAAGGAAAAAGAAAGTGAAAGAAGAGGAAAAAACTGTTGCAGACTCGGATGAAGAAGGACAGGGCGAGGCAATGGAAGAGGAAGTGGGTGGGGAAGAGGACACACCTGTTGGGAGTGTTGTTACTATATCTGATGATGATAATTAAAGATGCAATTAAATTTGTGAATTTTTATTCAATTTTGTTAATCTCCATTAAGTTGTGGTTGCAATACTTCTGCATGCTGTTATAGATGTTGGCGCCAATTGTGTTAAGTTGTTAAGTTTTATTATTATATCACTTAAAAGAGGAACAACTGTTATAAAGTCGATGAAATTTGATATGCAGTTGTCATTGTCAGTTGTCATAAACCTTTTCAAAGATCTTCACCTGAAACTATTGAACCAATTTTAATATAACTTGGAATGAAAGATCCTTAGGGTAAACAGTATAAAGTTTGTGTTTTTTGTTCCTGTTTGATCAACAAACATGGCAGCCAAGGGTAAAATAGAACATGAGGGTAAAATGCATAAATTGTCACAATAAATGGAGAGAATTTGACAAGAACAAGAATGATTCCTCTTTCCCTTAAATTTAGCAGATGGCTCCAGATAGTAGTTTAAAGAAGATTTTTGACAATTGTGTTTTTTGCATATTATTTTGAAAACTATAAACTATAATAGACAGGTAGAAACTGAAAACAGCAAAATACTAATTTAGGATCTACAAAAACGCCATTATGATAGAAAACATTGAATGACTTCTATAGGAAAAATTGCCCTTAAATTACGATTTTTAACCGGATAATAATTATATCTAATTTTAGAGAACTATGTTTTAAAATTTATTCAGTTTGAGTTATTTCCCTTTGAACAGAAAATTATATGGATAAAATTAAACTGTGTTTCATTTCAACATAAATTAAATATATATAGGGTTCTTTAAAATGCTGAATCTAATAAAATTGAGAATGGAAATGGGGAATGTGTCAAAGAGACAACAACCCGACCATAGAGCAGACAACAGCCGAACCTGTATTTAAATATTAGATATTTGGGCCCAGTTTTCAAGTTGGTCCAAATCAGGGTCCAAAATTAAACTTTGTTTGATTCAACAAAAATTGAATTTATGAGGTTCTTCGAAATGCTGAATCTAACCATGTATATAGAGATTTTAGATTGTGGGCTCCTTTATCAAATTGGTCCACATTGAGTTCTTTGATATGCTGATTCTAACAATGTACTAAGATTTTGGATATTGGACCATAATAGGTAAATGTCCAATTTCAAATTTTTCAGTTCTTTGACCACATTCATTTTGTGTCACAAACCTATGTTGTGTCAAATATTCAATCACAATCCAAATTCAGAGCTGTTTTAAGCTTAAATGTAGTGTCCATACTTGCTCAACTGTTCAGGGTTCGACCTCTGCAGGAAATCCGGTTTGCTGTCACTCTGACAGCCTCTTGTTTATCTCGCTTTGACATTAGTTTGTGATTAGGTCATTTTATGGGGATCCATTAGTGGTAGGTCAATGATATTTAGCATCTGTAGAGATTATTTGTGCCCACTCCCTCAGTCATGGTTTATTGTCTCTTTCGTCGCAGTATGCGAGATATAGGTATTACAATCTGGTGGTGGCGATGGCGTAAACTATTTGTTTAAAGCTTTATATTTCGGAAGGTAGAAGACCTGGATGCTTCATACCTTGTATGTAGATACCTTATGTTACGAAGTTTCCGTCTGTCATATTTCCATTGTCCTTGACCTCATTTTCATAGTTCAGTGAATGCTTGAAAAAAAATTACAGTTTTTTTTGTTAAGTGAAATACTTATTATGAGCAATAGGATAACTGTCTGTCAGGTAGGTTCACCTGACCTAGACCTTATTCCATGGATCAGTGACCAAGGTTAAAGTTACGTGGTCAAGTCTCTATATATCTCATATACTGTAAGCAATAGGTTATCTATATTTGGTGTATGGAATGATTGTAAGGGGTACATGTCCGACTGACAGATTTCATCTGACCTTGACCTCAATTTCATGGTTCATTGAACAATGTTTAGTTTTTGTAGTTTGGTCTATTTCTCAGATAGTATAAGCAATAGGTCAACTATATTTGTTGTATGGAATGATTGTAAGGTGTAAATGTCTGTCTGGCAGGGTTCATCTGGCCTTGACCTCAATTTCATGGTTGATTGAACATTAATTTTATGTGATACTTGTAGTAAAACCTTCATATTACAGAGTCAACATAAAATTCAATGATAAGTAAAACGGGCGAGACACTTCAGTGTGTGCACTCTTGTTGACTTTTAACCTTTTGCTAAGTTTACATGTATTAGCTTATGATTAGGTCAGTTTATGGGGAACCATGAGTGGTAGGTCAATGATATTTGGTATGCAGATGCATTTTAATTTCAACATTTGCATTATACTATCAACATTACAAAAAGGGTGATTTACCTCTTTGTCAACTGTTTATTGCCTATTTTCTTGAAAACTATAATAGTATACATTATGTTTGTCTTGCCTTGACAAGAGTCCAAAAGCAAGACTAAGGTATGCTGTTTCTGACAACAGTGGTGTCGGCGTCAACGATGTATTAGTTTTATATTAGGTCAGTTTAAGACGAACCATTAGTGGTAGGTCAATGATATTTGGTATGTAGATGCATTAGCAAATACCGGTCAACCTATGAAAATGAAAATAATAGCATTGGCAAATGTCATTTCCATGGAAATTATTCAACCCCGCCCCCTCATTCATGGTCTATTGAATTTGTAACTTTTGCTTACTTAACATGTATAGGTTTGTGATTGGGTCAGATTTAGGGGATATTTGGTATGTAGATGCATTAGCATTGACACATCTCATTTCCTTGAGATTATTCAACCTCGCTGTGTACATTCAATGGATGTGTACATTTGTTTGTGCTGACTGATATTTTAGTCTGGGAGAAATTGATTTATTTATTAGCTGTAATTGGCTTTGAGTTAGCTTTAAGTACTTTTAGATTGTTACTTTGTGTTTTTAGTGTTTTTATGCCCCCGCCGTAGCGGTGGGGGCATTAAGTTTTACCCTTGTCCGTCTGTACGTACGTACGTACGTCCGTCCGTACGTCCCAAAATTGGTTTCCGTTCTCTAACTTGAGTTTGCCTCAACCAAATGTTATGAAACTTATACACAATGCTTATTTTCACAAAACACAGATCAAGTTTGAATTTTGGTGGCGTCACTTTAACCGTTCTAGAGTTATGCCCCTTTATAAATGAAAAATTGCAAAATTTTTAGTTTCCGTTCTCTAACTTAAGTTTGCCTCAACCAAATGTTATGAAACTTATACACAAGGCTTATTACCTACAAAACGCAGATCAAGTATGAATTTTGGTGGCGTCACTTTAACCGTTCTAGAGTTATGCCCCTTTATAAATGGAAAAATTGCAAAATTTTTAGTTTCCGTCCTCTAACTTAAGTTTGCCTCAACCAATTGTTATGAAACTTATTCACAAGGCTTATTACCACAAAAGACAGGTCAAGTATGAATTTTGGTGGTGTCACTTTAACCGTTCTAGAGTGATGCCCCTTTATAAATGGAAAAATTGCAAAATTTTTAGTTTCCGTTCTCTAACTTAAGTTTGCCTCAACCAAATGTTGTGAAACTTAGACACAATGCTTATTACCACAAAACACAGATCAAGTTTGAATTTTGGTGGCGTCACTTTAACCGTTCTAGAGTTATGCCCCTTTATAAATGGAAAAATTAGCAAAATTTTTATTTTCTTCTAAATATCAAGTTATTTTTAAAATTGGAGTTATCTTCCTTTGTCCATGATTATAGTTGAATCAACTACAATGAATGCTTTATACAATGCAATGTTTAATTTTGACTTCCACTGATAAAACACAGATCAAGTTGAATTTGGGTAGTGTCACTTTTTAAACCATTATTGAGTTATGCCCCTTTATAAATAGAAAAATTGCTGAATTTTTAGTTTCTGTTCTCTACTTAAGTTAGCCTCAATCAAATGTTATGAGACTTACACACAAAACTCAGATCAAGTTCAAATTTGGGTAGCGTCACTTTTACTGTTCTTCAGTTATGTCCCTTTATAACTATATGATATGCAAGCGGGGGCATCATCTGTGTCCACATGTGGACACTATCCACATTTATTAATTCTTTTTTTGTGCTTTTTGTCGATGTGATGAATGAGCCTTTTTACATGCATTGCCCGGATCCCGCTGATGGTTTTGTCAGAATCCCGTATCATTGTAATACTAGCGCTTGTAATTTCACGTGTCCCGCCCGCCTTTGTTTCCCGTTTTCACGCAAAATAATTTTACTTTCACGTGTTCCTGATCCTAAGGTCAATATTTAGTTTGACACAACTGGTCTCTATGTGCTTGTTTCTACTTGGTACTGTAATTTCTCTGGGTAATTTCACATTGTATACTTTGGTTACATTGTTTAGGCGCAGGATCGGAATTCTTCAGGGCTTAGTGTTTCTCGGAATCGCCCTGAACTCTTTAAATATTCTAATATATTTGCTGTTATCTCGTATGTCTCTTTTTCTGTTGGTGCAAGTAGTGTCTGGAGATCTATTGTGATGTTATGTATCTCCAGCTGTCTTTTCATTTCTTCTCGTTCCTGGTGGTATCTTGTACAGTTGAGTAGAAAGTGTTCTTTGCTATCTTCGCCACATTCGCAGTATGGCGTGGGGGATTGTCCTATCTGGTGGCGGTATTTAATTACGTGTCACGCTTTCAAAAATTCGGCCAATCCCGCATCACGCTTACACTCCAATGAGACCCACTAAATATAGGCTGAGACTACTATAACACAATGACATAGTAGTCTCAGATATAGGTGACTTTCGTTAAAGCCTGATTTTTTGCACAATATAGAACAAAATTTATGACTATTTTCTGAAAAGTTAACAGTGGTGCCACTTTTTGCCCACAAATATTGTTGATGAAATATTCCTTACATCCCATATTCTTTACTTTTCAACAAAAAATTCTATGGGCGAAGACTGTCACGGTCATTTGATTGGTCAATCTTCAGTTGTGATGCAAGCGTGAAATTATGTATCAATAGTTTTGAATGCTAAATCAAAGTACACATAACTCGGGTTTTCCAATTCATAATACAGAGTGCATGTGTCTTGTGCCACAGAGCACAAAAATTACAACGAGGGTGGTAAAGGGTTATTTTCGTGCAACGTGATCGCCGTTTTTTATTTCACGTTCAACGTGTTTTTACTTTTTTATTTAACGTTCAGTCGTGCAAGACAGGTGCCTCGTTCAACGTGTTCTGCTTATTTAATTTTACGTGCATCGTGATTTTCAAATGCTTATTTTGCGTGCTCGGTATTTTTCAAATAAAATTCAAATGCTTGGCAGGGATCGTCAAGAAATACTTTTTTAAAAGCCGTAAACCATTTACATCATAAATGTGTATACTAAATCGGGAATAACAAGTAAAACAGAGAGTTTATATATACAAGATGACAGTGACTCAGTCACAAAAGGTTCACAACAGTCTTTATTTTTCGTGCAACGTTCATGACAGAAATTATTTCACGTTCAACGTGAAATTATGTCTTATTTCACGTTTTTTCCGTGCAAGCACCCCCCCTTTACCACCCTCTACAACCTATAGTGCACTGAACACTTATTGTCCATATATAAGTGCACCTCAGAGAGTATTTACAATTGTACTCTTAAAAAGGAAAACAACAAAAAAACGAACTCCAAGGAAAATTCAAAACGGGAAGTCCCTTATTAAATGGCAAAATCAAAAGCTCAAACACATCTAACGAATGGAAAACAACTGTCATATTCCTGACTTGATACAGGCATTTCCTTATGTAGAAAATGGTGGATTAAACCTTAGTCTCTTAAATTTCCAATCAAAGTGCACAGAGCGTCTTAATTCCACATCAAAGTGCATCGATCACTGCTAATTCAAGTCTGAGTGCCCGCAGCACTTACCTTCCATATCAAAATGCACCAAATATGGGGTTGCAGAGCTGCCCTTTGACATCAGATGCTCATTTAAACTCCTGTACAAGGAAATGGAGCGTCGTTTTGGTGACAATAATTTACAAGATATATTCAGAAGGAAATGCAGACAATCAGGAAAAGCTACAAAAAATCCACCAATGAGTATGCAACACGTATACAGACAATGGCGCGAAAGGAATATCAAGGTATGGATCAATAATTGTACAATAACATTGGCATTGGACATATGTTAATTGGGTTGCCAGATGAAAACGAGTCATATGATGTCCTGACGAAAAACCAAAAATAATTCAGGAGATCGTCAACCTCGTTGCATGTCACACAATCTACAAAAATAGTTAAAAGGGGAAGCACTAAATTAGAAAAAAATCATAAGGGTTCCGCGGAACCCAGTGTCTCTCCTACTTTTGCTGTTGTCTATGTTTTCAGTGTGATAGGGGAATGCACATAATAGATTTACAGTTAATGAAATAAAACGCTTGAAATGTATGAAAAAAAGTTATGCTTGTTATGTGAATGTTATGTTAACTGGAAGAAAAAGTCCATTTATAAGTAAAATACGGAAAAACAGAAATAGATATTTTACAAAATTTTCTTCTGGATACTATCTTTAGATCATAAACAAGCTTCTGTCCAAGTTTGGTAAAAATCCAGGATAGTTTTAGAAAGTTATTAAAATTTTAAAAACTTTAACCACAGAGTGAATGTTGTGTTAACTGGCAGAAAAACTAAGTCCATATATGAGTAAAATACGGATAAACAGGATTTTTTTTATACAAAATTTACTTCTGGATACTATCTTATGATCATAAACAAGCTTCTGTTCAAGTTTGGTAGAAATCCAGGATAGTTTAAGAAAGTTATTAAAATTTCAAAAACTTTAACCACAGAGTGAATATTTGTGGACGCCGCCGCCGACGGAATGTAGGATCGCTATGTCTCGCTTTTGCGACAAAAGTCGCAGGCTCGACAAAAATTGAAATGGATATAATAGTCGATACATTCACGACCGGTTGGCGGGAAGCGCCCTTTTAATGGGGAGAGGTTTAACCAATTTGGAAAGAAGATGAAAGATAGCATAACTTCTAAAGTTACCAAGTCAGTTGAAAACGTTATATAGGTGTCAAATTGCAGATTATGGGCACACAACAGACAAAGAATTTTAACCGCCAAAATCTATTAAAATCCGTAAACTTCGCGAATTCCACCAACAGAGAACAAAAAATCAGAATAAATACAAGAGTCAGGCTCAGAAAGTTGTTTGTCTCTTGGTCTTTTTCTTTTTTTTGCCAAGGCCTTGTCAGTTTTTTTTTGACTTATGAGTTTGAATGTCCAATTGATATCTTTCGTCTTTCTTTTTTAAAAGTTGTTATTGACACCTTAAATGAGGTCACCATGTTAAATGAATACTTAGTATATCCTTTCCCGTATTCCTGAAATTGACAGACCACACGGTTGAATCCAGCAAAGTGAACCCTTGTTTTTGCTGTGGCAAACGGACAGATGGTTACTAGAGATTGCAGCCATTGAATTGTAGCTTGAAGAGATCAACTGGGAAGCATACGTGGCACCAATAGAAGAGTGACCTGATGGATGAGATGAATATAACCATCAACTGAAAGCATTCAGTTGGATGGTACGTAGATCGACCGTGAAGTGAATCGCAGATCAGACAAAGTTGCAAAGGTAAAAATAAACAACACAATTACAATACCCCATTGTTCAAAAGTACTTACTATTAAATATGGATGCGGTGATCAACAAAATGAAGTGGTAACACGATATACAATGAAGCAACCTGTGGTCGATGATAGAAAACGATTTTTTTTCACAGACTCCAGTATAACCATACAAGAAGACAATTACAGTTGCTGCACATGTATAACATGTCCATCGAAGACGATATAAATACAAGTGCTAAGGTCTGGATGGGGTTTATAGAGTAGAATATAATGAACAAAAAGTGCAGAATAAAGGCCAAAAAAAAAAATAAAGAATAGAAAAAAATAGGCAAAACTATTACAGAAAAGAGAAAAATGGGGTGCTAAAGTAAAAGGAATAGAGGAAAATGGTATAAAAAAATATAGAATAAAGAAATGAAGGACCTCCCATCCAGACTTTCATACAACCTTGCATTTTGAAAGAACAACGACACGTGGAACACATAGATGCAGGAATAATATTTCAATGTACGCCCAAAATGATGAAATTACAACACATTAAAGATGAGAAATCAGTACGACGATATGTCAAATCTATGGGCTGTATGGTAAACAGTAGAATGTGACCGGACCCACGGATTACTTTATAGGATATCTCCTTGATAGAATTGAAATCATGTGACATTACTATACCTTTTCCTGGTCACGTTATTCATATTGTGACACATCCAAATTAAAACATCGATATATATACAACACTGAATATTGATATTTCAAATTTAATAATACAAATAAACAACCAAAATCATCAATAAAAATAGAATTACTGATGTAAAAAATTCCCTTTATCTGCACGAATCGACATATATCGAAGGAGGTTGACAGCAAAGCTTCAGTGATAACTACTAGGGGGCCTCGGTAGACTAGTGATTTAGTAAGTCATCTACTGTAATCACAAGCCTTTCAACACTGAGGTTGTAAGTTCAGACGTCGATCTTGAGTGACTAAGATAGCCTGTTTTTTTCCTACCGAAGTTTGGTGGTTCTATCCTAGAACTCCGGCATCCTAGTCTAATAAAATCTGACCAAAGTGCTGAAAGTGGCTTTAAACACCACCGATCAATCAATCAACGATGACTATTAATGCAAAACTTTATAATTGTTTTTAACATCGTTACAGAAAAGTTAGAGGTAACTATATATATGAATTAAAACGCACCCAGACATATTGCCCATCCATATTCTCTCGTCTGTTTTAAATCAAATACTTAATTTTATTCATGATGACTGTTCACTTTGAAGATGTCAATTTTTGAAACATTATACTTTAAGATATTATTAAAACTACCATTTTCGTTGCGTAAATTTGTTATTTTTGTTTGCGTTGTCTTTATTGGTATTTTATTTAAGAAATGGCTGTAATATTTTTTCTGTCTATGAAGAAATAACATCAAAAATGTGGTGCACACTGAATAACGGGTTATTTTAAAGTGTGCACCACATTTTTTATGTTATTTCGAATAATTTAATTCATAATTCCATTTTAAACTGGAGTAAATCATGAAAAAACGTTGATGACGTCAAGGTCACATGGCAAAATTATGTCTATGAGCTGATAAAGAAAACAACGTCAGCCAATCGGAAGACGCGTTACATCCAAAATTAAATTATTTGTTATTAACGTTGCCTTTTTTTACAATTGTTTCACATACACTTTGGTTGATTTATGAATACCGGTATCTTTAAACACGATTTCGTCGTCAACTTTATACTCGTCGTATTTAAAAGTGTGCAAAGTCTCAAATCCTGATTTCTCAAATATCCTTTGAGAATATACACCTGTTGCGTCACCATGGATAAACGCTGGCTTCAGTCCAAGCTCTTTGGAAAACAAAAGTGCAGCTTGGAAAATTTTGGAAGCAATCCCTTGTTTTCTATGATCTTTATGCGTTCCTAAAACTACAAAATCTATAGATGTGCCTATATTGAAACGCTTGTAAATGTCCATTTCTTCGTTTTTATGTGTAAAAAACTTAAAGAGTGTTACTAGTTTTTCGTTTTCTAGTTCTGAAATGTCGAATGGTTCATCTCTATGTGCCAAACTAATGGTTCTGCATGCAATAATCTCATTGGTTTTATCAGATACAAGCAAGAGAGACAGATTATCTTTGTGTGCCATTGTGACAAGTTGATCATATTCTTCGTCAGCAGTATAACCGATACTTTTTATTAGGGGTTCATCAGGATGGAAATGCTCTTTGATGAAAGTAAGTAAGTCTGCTTGCCTTCCGTCAGACATCAACTCTAAATGGGCATCTTTAAATTCAAAATGTTTGGCAATACTATCGAATGCCTGCAAAAGAAAACAGTTTTATTAGTATTTATTAATATCATTATATGGTTATAGAGGAAGGTTTCTGTGATCAGGAGTTTTGGGTAAAAAAAGGCAGGATGAGCAACTTGGCAAAAATAAGGCAGGATGACAATTTATGTAAAAAAGTCAGGATAAACTAATAAAAAAAAGGCAGGACCGAATAGAGTGAAAAATAAAAAGGCAGGGCAGAGATTACAACGAAAAAAAATGCAGGACAAAATTTTTCACCCTAGCCCCCCAACCAACCATCCAACCAACCAACCAACCAAACCTTCCTCTATAACCACCCCCCCTTAAAACAAATGGTAGCTCCCTAACAACAAAACTTGATCAAGTTCTAGATTCTTGGTCTGGTTTTGTTTTTGTGTGTTTGAAAAAATGGGAATAGTACTGTAGATTCAGAAATTATTGCTTACATTTATTATTTCGATTTTTGGAGAATGGACATAAATGCGAGATTAATTATTGCGATTTCGGGAAAAGCTGCATATAGATATGATGTATTAAATATCAGAATGGGAATACTTATTATTGCGATATTCACCCAGGCGCAACAATCACATTAATAAAAACCTCGCTATAATTGCTGAATTAACAGTATCTTGCAGAAACAAATAATATATATTACATAACTATAGGAGTTTTCATTTTATACTGAAGTTTGATTCCTCGTTTTTTATTACTTTACATATTACACAACGGGAGTCACATGTGGAACAGGATCTGCTTACCTTCCATAGCACCTGAGATCAACCATAGTTTTGTTTAAAGAAGTTCGTATATAACTCTGGCTTTATTTTTCAGTAATGGACTTTGTGTTTTTTATATCTATGTGTGATTGTAATCACTTGACGTCATAACTTATCAACGTATTTTATAGGAGCAACACACGAGGTTTCGCATATGGAGCATGATCTGCTAGCACCCCCCCCCCCCCCCCCCCCCCCCCCCCGCATCAGTTCCGGCTTTTGGTTTTTGTTCTTGTCATGATTTTGTCAATCAGTCTCCCTTTGGTATCTTCCGCTTCTTTTTTAAACTAATAATACACAAAGCCTGGTCGTAGACCAAAATGCTTAACGCCTTGCTCGTTTCACGCACATTATAGACCCTTATGTAGATTATTTTCCATTAATGTATGTCTCTAAACCCCTCGACAATAAAACTCACAGAAAATAAAGGCGTATTAATTTTAAGTTTCTCAATAGAAAAAGATAGAAATGTTTTTTGTTTTCTTTTGTCAAGATGCATTTCTATAGAAAAATGAAGTAAATCATATTTATTTAATAGCATCGTGCATGTTTATCATATATCATGAAGCTTGAAAAGAGTGACATATTTATTCCTGCAACTTAGTTTACACCATTCAGGAAATCACCTGAATATAACGTCCACCATTAATTTTTTTAAACCAGTTTACGGTGCATACAAGTATGTTTATTATGTTAATGCGATTTAAGACATAACTTTCACCTACCTGTTCCAATTCATGTCTTGGTCGTAACTTGTCCGACATGTTTCGCTTATGTAGATCTCTGAAACACCAACTGTATTGTGGTATATATATGTGGTATTCTCTACCTAGGATAGTCAGTGTTAATAACTGGATACATTACAATTAAAATTTACAATCAGTTTACCGGTGTACAAATACCATAAATCAATTTAAAAGATCAAAATCCAGGTAACAAACTAAAACTAAGTGAATCAGGATTATTACGCTATTATTATTTATAGATTATATATGTGTAATAGAAGGAACGTTTTGATTTTCATTTTCGAAAAGTTATGTTCTCATAAATGAGCCCTTTCTTTCATTCATTTCTTTATTTCCTCTATTAAGAGATTCAATGAACAATTATATGTAAACAGACTGAATTACAAAAGATTGCAAAACATGATAACACAATCAAATAATATTACAATATGTACAATAACTATAGTTATGTAATTATATATTACCAAAAGAACATTTCAAGAAAATGGCAAAGCTTTAGAACTGTCGGTGTCGATGTAACTGTTGTTACGTGCTTGCCTAAAAGAATGCAATAAAACTGTTCATTGTCGTATGAATAAAATTCCACAAATAACTGTAATGGAAATTTTTCAATTATGAACTCCCACCACACATCTTTGATTGATCGAGTTCTGCTACAGCTACAACATGCATGTACGTATACGTCTAAAAACTGCCTGTTACATAGATCGCACGTGCCTCCAGTGTTATTCGGAATGTCAGTAAGCAATTTAGTAATAAAAGAGGGACGAAAGATACCAGAGGGACAGTCAAACTCATAGATCGAAAACAAACTGACAACGCCATGGCCAAAAATAAAAAGACAAACAGACAAATAATAGTACAGATGACACAACATAGAAAACCAAAGACTAAGCAACACGAACCCCACCAAAAACTGGGGGTGATCTCAGGTGCTCCGGAAGGGTAAGCAGATCCTGCTCCACATGTGGCACCCGTCTAATAATAAAATAATAATAATAAGATAATAAAATAGGCGTTTAAGATTTCTCTGGATGATCTCGTTCTTTTCCAGAATTCAGGAACCGTAATCGATAGGTGAATATTTCTAAATCGCGAAAAGTTATTGTCATTATGTAAACGAGGATTCCATTCATCAGTTTGTACTTTGTCTACTGTATTGTTCACTAAAACTTTCCAAGATTGTTTAGTTGGAAAAACCCCCTCTCGCAAAAAGTCTAACTAACTTATACGCATAAAGCCGATATCTATACAAAATATCCATAATTTCTGGAATGAAACCAAAAGGCATGATGATTGCGTTCATTGTCAATAAAATAAGTATACAGACTCATAAGAAATGTTTTCTTCGTTAAGAACTTGTCATCAAGACTACAAAGTTTTTGCAAGAAATACAACTTCTTAATCTCTATAGCGGAAGAAATAGGATGTAGTCCAAGTATACATAAGCACATATCTAATCTCGTAGATGTTTTTAAGTCCAAAATACGCTTGACTATAAAGTGCTGAAAACAATTCAACGCAGTAATGTCGTTTGACTTAAAATTAGTCCAAATTTCACAACCATACAGCACAGTAGGTAACACAATATATTTAAACAGTTTAAGTAGAACACAGCTCAATACCCAGGTGAGTATAATCTTCAGCTACAGGAAGTACACTGTTTGTTATATGCCAGTCGTATAATACCCGAACTTTTCGTGGGTTCAGGGAAAATTGCATAACACATGACTTCTTCGCATTGAAACAAAACCTCGATCTATATGCATAGTCTGCACATATATCTAACATTCGATGAAGACCTAACGAAGTTGTGCCAATACATGAACGTCATCAGCAAGAGCAGGAGAGCAACTAGCTATGTGATAAACACCAGTTTCCCGGTTACATTTTTCAAGTTCAACCAACATTTTGTTTATAAAAACTAAATATAATAAACCAGACAAAATCCCTCCTTGTCCAACCCCTTTTAATACAGAAAAGAACTCGGACTGACACTGGTTTACTATTACTGAACTCATAGTATCAATATGACATTCATTATTAACTGACCATATTTTACCTGTTTCCCCTATTTTATACAATTTATACATAAGACCAATTCTCCAGACAGTGTCTAAAGCTTTTTTACTGTCTAAGAAGGCGAACAAATACTTTACTGAATAATTCAAGGTTATGATAAATCGTCTCATGTAAATTTAAGGATGCAGTTAAGCGATTGCATAATAGTTGAAGAATGTAATTTTTTAATTGCACAAACTGCATCAAAATGTGGTTTTGTTATCAGAGAAGAAGGTAACTGGAATGGTTAATAATTCTTTTAAGAAAAGAAAGGTTAAGAAACAGTTACTATGGTTCAATAGAAAATGCGGTGAAGAGTACAAAAAAGTTTTATGTAATCAATATATATTGTATAACAAAATGTTTATTAAGGAGTTAAGAAATCTTAGACAAAAGTAAAATAACAAAAATACCGAACTCCAAGGATAAATCAAAACAGAAAGTCCCTAACAAATGGCAAAATTAAAAGCTCAAACACATCAAACGACAAAACGATCATACTGGGACTTACTGAACAGAGCACGTTGCTCTCAGACTAAACAGAATATTGCTAATAAAGTGTCTCTTGGTTGTTTTTATGAACATTTAAAAAAAATAAACTTTGTCCAAGATGAAAATGATGATACGTTTAGAAAAATATTGATGTAGAAAATATTAGTAGTCTAAATACTGAACTGAATCGAGCTGTATCAGAAAATGAGGCGAGACAGGCTATTAAAGGGTTGACAAATGATAAAGCCTGCATGTGGAAATGATTTTATTACAAATGAATTTTTGAAGCATTTGCTGATAAAATGTTATTAGTTTTTGTTTCTTCGTTTAATATTGTTTTTGATTCTGGCTGTGTACCAGACTCTTGGTTTGAATGTATTATTATACCAATATATAAAAGTTATGGAGACCCCGCAAGTCCTGAAAATTACCGGGGCATACCGGTTCATAGCTGCGTAATGTGCTGAATAATAGAATTAATTGTTATTTTGATAATTTTAATGTTCTCTGCGAAGAGCAAGCAGCAAGAAGGCTTTAGAAAGCATTATGGTACTACTGATCACATTTTTAATATGAACTGTTTGATTGATCTTTACTTGAGATGAAACAAATCTTTATTTAGTGCTTTTGTTGATAACCGAAAAGCCCTTGACTCAGTGGATAGATGTGCTTTATGGCACAGGTAACTACAACAATGTATTTATGGTATAAAAATGCCAAAGCTTGTGTACGTTTAGGTTGTAAAACCTCAAGTTTCTCTTTTAGCTGGCGTGCGCTAAGGAGAAAATTTGTCACCTGTTCTATTTTTATTGTTTTTAAATGATCTATTTTAATTTTTGTCACATTCTTATGATGGTTTGTCAATGGTGCTCATTTTTTCCTTGATAACTATGAAATAACTGTATGTTTTAAATTGTATCTGTTACTCTATGCTCAAGAAAGATTATCTTGTGAAGATAGAAAGGCTATGTTTAGTATTATGAAAAAAAGTCGAAAACTAAATTTACTGATTGATATTCAGCTTGAGATGTTTGATGCAATGGTTTTACCTATTTTACTGATAACAGTAAAATAGAATCAATCTGTCTGCAATTTATAAATATATACATAGTTTGAAGAAATGTACACCAAATTGTATCATGTATGGTGAACAAGGAAAAATTCCTATTGATATTTTGATCAAAAGCGAAAAGGTTGCATTCTGAAAAAGAATTCTTTGTAATCAGCAAGATAAAATTACTGCTACTTTGTATAAGTACTTATATAACATGCATATTAAAAAAAAATCCGTTTCTAAATGGATTGTTTGTATTGAAAAAAATAATTGTGGTCTTTCAGAGTACTGGCTGTCACAATGTGTACAAAAAATGTAATTGTATCAAATCTAGACAAACAATATATCTGTGATCAGTTTAAGCAAACATGGATTACTACAGTTCCTAAGAACTGAAATTGATTTTGGGATGTCGAACGTGATGATCGTATCATTCATGTGAAATTGGTGATGAATTTCACTATCTGTTTAAATGTACTTTTTTCTCAAATGAAAAAAAAAGGTTTTTGTCCCGTAATGTGTATCAAAAGCATAATACTATAAATTATTGTAAACTTTTTTGTTCTGATGACCACAGTTTAATTGCCAAACTTGCCAAATTTTGTAAAATTAGTCTTTTTGTTATAAATTAGATATATTCTATCTGTTATAAATTAGATTTGCCTTCCACTGCAAATTCTATGAAACATGTACTTTATACCACTTCATATGTAATCATGCCATTCCATTCATTTCACTGTTTTGTATATAGGTTATTGTTGTTATTACTGTTTATATTCACATAACCCTGATGGGGTTTTGAGAAATAAAAGTTAAACTTTAACGTTTCAAGTTTCAATTGGACAACCCACTAACACATGATTTTTGATGGTCTCTCGAATACCAGTTATGGTTCTTTGTTTTACAGGCCATTCGAAGTAGTTAACACTCTAACTTCCGTGGATTGGTCTCCAATAGGAAATATAAAAATAGATTAAATACCCTGCATATACAATAGCAGTACATTTTTTTAATTGTTCAACGTCAAATAATTTCTCTTTATGCAAAAATAGTCCTGTTTATTATATGTTTTATTGTATTCAAGGTATCAAAATTTATGAGCCTCTTCATGGGGTTTTGATTATGTGATTACTTGGCCGTTTTTATAGTGATTATTTGATTACCAGACCAAGTATTTCATGATTATTGGATTATTTGATTATCTAGGACTGTATTTTATTAATTGATTATCTTGTTTAAAAAAATAATTAATGATTATGTGATTATATTGGCTAAACATTTGTGATTATGTGATTACTTCGGCACCCCACGAGGGGCCTCATTTATTAAGGATTTATACATTTTATATATGTAATAGCTAAAAATTGATAAATATACGTTTGTCTTGGTGACAATTCTACATTTGGATTATATAAACAAAATACCATAGATTGATTTGATTTATTGGTGTCTATCTGTTGTTTTTCATTTTTTACAACTGTTTAACGTACACTTTGGTTGATTTATGAATACCGGTATCTTTAAATACAATGTCATCATCGACTTTGTACTCGTCGTATCTAAAGGTATGCAAACTTTCAAATCCAGATTTCTCATAAATTCTTTGAGAATATACACCTGTACCCTCACCTTTTATGCACACAGGATTTATTCCCAATTCTTTGGAAAACTGAAGTGCTGCCTGGAAAATTTTGAACGCTATTCCTTGCTTTCTGTGTTCCTTATGCGTTCCTAAAAATACAAAATCTATACAAGTGTCTATATTGAAACGCTTGAAAACGTCCATTTCTTCGTTTTTATGGGTGACAAATTTTAGCAATTTAACTAGTTTATCATTTTTCAGTTTAGAAAAGTCAAACGATTCGCCTCTGTGTGCCAAAATAATGCTTCTGCATGCAATAATCTCATCCGTTTTATCGGATATCAACAACAGAGATAGATAATCCTTGTGTGCACTTGTGACCAGTTGGTCAAATTCTTCGTCAGCATCATATCCTAGAGATTTTGCCAAAGGCTCATCAGGATGGAATTGTTCTCTAATGAAGGCAAGGAAGTTTTCTTTTCGTGCATCAGATGTCAACTCTAAATGTGCATCTTTAAATTCTATGGTTTTGGCAATACATTCCAAAGCATGAAAAATAAAATCGCATTGGTATTAATATTTCATATAAAACGACTAGATAAAGGGAGAGATTTCTCAAAAAATTAGTTTGGCCACGTTCATATAATACAAAAACAAAGGATATGGAGTATCCATCCATTACAAAAAATCAGTACATGCGCAGCAAAAACACACAATAAGCAAAGGAACAGCACTTTTATGGCTGTTCTTTATCTCAAAGTCACTGTGAGGCTTTCAACACGGAGCAAAAAACTGTCACCTCACTGTAAGTTTAAGACGGCCCTTAGCACCGGTGTAAGCGGAATTCTTTGCAAAATGAAATCATTCAGGTAGACCTTGTACGACCAAATTGGGCCCGGTCAAAAAGAACATACCGGAAAGTATGTGCATGTTTAAAGAATTAAAGGTATGTGTCTGTTTCCAGGATCAAAGGTATGTGCATGTTTAAAAGATTAAAGGTATGTGCCTATTTAAAGGATTAAAGGTATGTGCCTGTTAAAAGTCAGAAACCTCAACAATGGTTGTCTTTGGATAAATCTGAATGGGTTTTTTATTAGTTAAATAGTTTGCCATTTATTTCAAATCTTTGATAGTGTCTTCTATCATTGAAGATCGAATGTCTTCACGGAGGAATACCTTTCCTTTGTATTCTGTGTTATTGTGTTGTCTGAATGCAACTCAGACATTTTAGTCTGTTAGTTTATACCGTAACAGACCACCAATAAAACAGAGCCTCCTATTTACGACGGTAATTCAAAAGAAAATGCAGTCTATTTTCAATAACCCCTCCTCTAATCAAAAACAAAATAAGATAATTTTTTTCTGGTGAAGAATACGAACATAATTTCATTTTATATTCTTTATGTTAACATATAAACATTTTTTTATACTGTTACTATATTGCACTTGTAAGTCGTACAACATTGCTACAGTTAATATTAGTATATAACACGGAGATTACTTTGTTTTAAGGTTGAGATGTTCAACAGTCATAAGAATTTACCTTTCGCAACGCCACTCCACTCAGGCTTAATATTAGTATCAATATGTGGTAAGGTCGCGATGTTCGAAGTCCTTAATTTTTTTACATTTTGAAATTATATATCAAACATATAATCTAGCGAAAAGAAGGAACTGCATTTTTCAATATATGGGAATATTTCAAACATCAAATGTATTTATGGTTGCATTTTAGATACTTGAATAAAGTTTATGTTTTAAAATGTAACAAGGCGTGCAATTCCTCTTTTAAACCTCGTCATGGTTCATGATCGTAGCTAGCGTGCTTTTATGTTGCAAAAGAGAACTATATTACTACCGGAATAACAGTTCAGAAGCATTTTACTGAACTTATGCGATATCATTATTGGTCCAACTTGCTACCAAGCACATGCTATTGACCTCTGATGAGAGTTTTTGATGTGTTGAATTTGACTCGTCATAACACAAGAAAGACAGCATAATATTTGCTTATGTCTGAAAAATTCATTACGAATACGCTTATTTTTAATTGTTCGTGGCTGTGCGAAAAGATGTTTTCTCTCAAGGAAATACAAATGTTTCCCTCTTTTATAACACATTATAGAAATGTTTTTCACTTTGACACAACGAATTTGTGTGCGCGCAAAACTTTCCAAGAATTACCATGTTCTCAATTTTTATGAAAAAAAAACGTCGTTCGGAGATGAGTATCAACGGATTTCTTCAAAAGCATTATTCTGACAAGAGTGAAACACGTTTACTTATAACTAAAAACTCCGGGATAGTTATTTAAGATAAATTTTAACTATGCATAGTTCCACTAGTATATACAAGTATGTTGTAATTTATAAAGAGAAAAAAAAAAGACCAAAGATGTCTTTGTACCATTTTAAGGAGTATTTCTAAAGACAAAAACTATGATTTACGACTTCTTATTTTGTTTATCTTGTTTGTCAAAAACTCTACAGTCGCTATTAGAAGTTGGATGATACCAAACGAGCCAACCAAAACTATAACTCGAGGAAAACTAACAACACAACAGACAATAAAAAGTTCATGTTGATGAATCGTATTACGATGTAACAGTCGGGGGAAAGAGGGCGGGATTGTGGCTTCGACATGTGGACCATATTAAGCATAAAAGTTAAAGAAATATCTTTAGTTGTTTTTTTTTATGTCGCTCAGCATATTAACATCATTTAGTTTCACTGAAGGTTTTTTTTACCAATACATGTATACAACTAGTATAAGTGAAGAAAATTATATAATATTTTTTTCAATCAAAACTTGGATGAAAAAGACGCATAATACATGTACAGTGCCCAATATAGACCTTTACAAATACACAGAAAACTCATCCGCTCCTGGATCTGAATATAACCGCTGCAATTGTACATTAACTTTATATACGTTTATGGTGTAGATGAAATTAAAATTTTAATTTCTTTTACCTGTTCTAATTCATGCCTTGGTCGTAACTTTTCCGACATTTTAAAACAGTTTACTTCTACCACAGGTATACTCTGAACTAATATGAAAGAATACAAAACTAGGTTAGGTACGCATTATCTCGGATACAACAAGGACATATGTACAATGATACGATTATAAATTAAACATTTACAACGCATAATCAAACTTCATTATTTAATTTACATATATTTTAGAGATACTGAACTATGTACATACAATACAAAATAAAGAAGTAAATGGTAAATCAGTGGAGATTTACAATTTGCCAAAAATAATGCAATTACGAAAAAAAAAGTGAGAGTGTTGAGATTAATAAAATTCTCCTCGTATCTAGTCTAATGCAAATGGAAAAATATTGAAGTTATTCAGATGCAGGCGTCGTATGACGTGTTGTTATAGGACCCTCAACATAATGCATCGGAACACACACTTGTACAATACGTATACAAGCACATAAACATAGATGACTCATATAGTCCTGTTCATCACGGGATACAGTCATTCAAATCCAGGGTCACGAAGGGAAGGTGGCCGTGCGTAATGAATGAATATTACACACTAGTACAATAAGTATACAAAGATATATACATAGATGACTCATATAGTACTGTTCATCACGGGACAGTCATTTAAATGCCAGGGTCACAAAGGGGAGGTGATCAACAAAATGCATGAAGTTACCGATAATTATGTGGATTTGTTATAATTTACATACAAACCTACTTGTTATTAGGTAATTACCACTTTTTTACCTTTGGCTAGTTGTTTTGAAAAAAAATGGCATTGTAATTATTTTGATCCCCAAGTGAAGTTTCTCATTTTTTTCATCTCCCTTTACCGTGACAAAAAAAAAAGCTTGACACCCTTTCTTCGAACAGAGCTATGATGAATATCAACATGCCAAAAAAACTTACTTGTGACAAACTGTGAATGCTCACTATTTTCTTTAGTTTATCAGTTTAAAAAATAAGGTGATGTGGTAATAACTATCTATAAAGACCGAAGGACAAAGATGTGAATTATTACACGGCTTTCAACAACGAGCAAAACTATAGTATAGTACGATCATGGAAGTAATATTTAAAAGGAATAACAACGACTAATTAGCATGTATTAACAGCCTGCAGAGCTTTGTACTAAAGTCATATGATTTTATCCAATTATAGTCTCAGCGGCAATACCCCTTTGGTTACTATCTGTGATACCGCGGTTGTAAAATGGCATCTGGAATTTCTTATCAGTCACTTGATTTTATCGAGTCCGGTAATTATAAAGCACCTGTGTGAAATCCGAGGTTTATTAATAAGAAGGTGGCGCTGTATCATATAAAACCTCTACCTTCAGAAAGAAGTCGTATGATGTAAAAAAACTTGAAAAACGGACGAGAATTGTTCAACCTACAACAGTTTAGCATGGAAAATTGTATTTAATTTAGCATATTTTTGCTTTTTACCGTTTGTTTTAAACTGTTCTAAAAGTATTTTCCGGTTAAAAGCGGATCCCGAGTAAAACAGTTAAATACCGATGAATCGATCAGGTTTCACATGATGTTGAACAAAATAATGTAGACAGATGTAGACATAGAATATTTTACTGTTGAAATGTGCCAAGTTTATCGAGATTTATAAAAATATTTACTTTCAAGTAATTGATTACGTTATTGAAACTGGACAATTAAAATCGGGATCATAAGTTCGTAAACATGTTAAATTTATATCTATTTTAAAAAAAGTGTTTACAATTGAATACTAATATTAATGTAGCACGTTACACTGAGCAAAAAGAAAATCAACCATACAAAACGAGCTTGACACTATCTGTCTAACCGCAAATTTATTTTATATGAATTTGTTTATGTACAAATTAAAGAATAGAAACGTTTAAAATTGTGAATATTTGATTTGCCTGGTATACACGGAAGACTTGGATTATTCGTATTTAATAAAAGGGGGTCGACACATATTTTTTTGTACAATCATCTTCTTAACTTTCAGAAATGGCTTCTTAATTAACTGGTTTTAAGTATTAAAATTGAAAATGATCCACCCTTTTTCTTAAATTCAATATGTGATAACTGTCGGCCTAAACTATTAAGATCGAAAAAGACATAAATAGGAAAAATAGACTAAAATCAACATTGAATGACTGACTCTATTCGGTAGCGTACAGCAGCGGAATGTAACGAGTGAACTATTCGGGTTACTTCGTACGTACATACGACAACAACTGGTCTATTCGTAATTTTCCGGGAACACGAAAATGACCGAAAAGTGTCAGTGATTTGATCTATCTCATGCCGAGAGTCAATTACCATGCCATATATTAAACCAATTAACGAGTTATCGAAAGATGGGCGGTAACGCAGATGAAACCTTTGAAGTGACGACGTTGTTATTCCTTTCAATATTACTTCCATGGTACGATATTGCAGAGACCCAATATGACATGTGTGCAATAATTTGAAGAGAATACCAACGGCCTAATTTATATTACAACAATAAACGGAAAATCAATATAATAACAAACAGCAACCAAAAACAATTCCTAAGTCAGGAACTTCTAGCCTTTAGTTATAGTGTTAGTGTTGTGTGTGGTTTTTTTAATTTTGGTTCATTTATATGTTTTGGCGTCCATTTCGCTGAACTAGTATACTTTATTGCCGAGGGGCCAGCTGAAGCCTGCCTCCGGGTGCGGGATTTTCTCGCTGCGTTGAAGACCCATTTATGGCTTGGGCTGTTTTTCTGCTCTTTGGTCGGGATGTTGTCTCTGATACATTTCCAGTTTCCATTCTCAATTATATTTTTTACAGAGTTTGTCTTTAGTGCCGTGTGGAGACAGTAGAGTGCATCCCCGTGCGTAAGGTGTATGCTCTTATAATATCAAGATAAATGAGTGTGTGTCCGAGCGAGAACTTTTTTTCTCTTAACTGTACGGAATATGTCCAATCTAGTATGATGTAGTTAACGTAAATAAACGTGTCAATCCAACAATTCCTAAGAACTTCTGAGAATATAAGTATATTAATTTCTGATCTGTCCAATTTCGGTTTCGGTATATATAGCTGTCACGGAAACCTCTAGAACACTGTAGAGGGGAAACTCCTAGAAAACTCTAGAACGGAAACTTCTAGAATATGGTAGAAGTTAAAATTACACATCGTAGATTATAATCATTCTGGAATCATTATGTAAGTCAAATAGAAAGTTTTAATCATTCATCAGTATCTTTGATTGTTCAAGTGATTTCTAAACTGCACAGTTATAACATTATTTTGTAAACAACTATAAGGCCACACAAAACAAATTAGGCAAAGATAAATAAACTTAATTATTACAATATCATAACAATGTTCATTTCTTTAGGCATATTTATCTAAAACTTATATTTAACTATTCAGCCCCATTCTTCTATCTAGTCCGATGTCAGGCGCAACCCTGATATACCATGTCTTTTGTTTTTTCCTCTGGTTTCTTAGATTACGTATTTTGTCGGGTACTTGATGACGGATAGCGCTTGACATCTTAAGCCGAATAGCTTTATACTTGTATCTGATTCAATTCCTGTGTGCTGTTTCATATTCTGGACGTAAGTCTTTTCTCCTTTCAATTGGAAACACGGATAACAAAATAAAACACAGAAACGGAAAAAATATTCATTACCAAACTCGTTCAAAGGGTATCTACACGTTTCAAACTTCAAAATCATTTATCTAAAAAAACTACAATCGCTAACATTTTCAAAAATAAAAATCGCGGTAACCCTTCTATCGATACGTGTCATACCAAAACATTACTTACATGTCCCAGTCTTTCCACCTACAATACGGTAAGGTCCACGTTTAATGGTCGCAAATTTTCCTTAAATTTTAAAACTGATATAAATTGAAAACTAACAGTTTAATCTTTTTACTTTCATGAAACAAACCGGGATGCGGTATTCAGTATGTAAATGAAACCGGACCTTTTTATTTAAGCGCACACAAGAACACCTGTATCGTTTTAGAAGACCCAATCTATTTAAAAGTATCATTTATCAATAAGATTGATTGAAACAGGTGTACACTTAGCATACTATCAAATAAAAATAACAATTTATAAATGTCGTGTGTCAAAGGCACTTTTCTGGATTCACCTTTAACAGAAACTCTTATACCCAATATTTAAAGCCAGAGATGTACACATCCTGTACAATCACTGGGTCGATGCCACTGCTGGTGGAGTTTTTCTCCCCGAGAGTATCACCAGACCAGTAGTCAGCACTTCTGTGTTGACATAAATTATCATTGAGATGGTCATAATTATAAAGTAACTGTTAACAAATCTTTGGATTTCCGAAATACTAAGGTTTTTCTACCTAAGGAATAGATTTACCTTAGCTGTATTTGGCGAAACTTTTAGGAAAAATTGGGTCCTCAATGCTCTTCAACTTCGTACTTTATTTTGCCTTTTTAACTTTTTTGATTCGAGCGTCACTAATGAGTCTTTTGTAGACCAAACGCGCATCTGGCGTATACAATTTTAATTGATAATGTATCTATGTCAAATGTGTTTGAAAAAGGTGAAATATATGAGTATAATTTGATTTGTAATTTTTGAATTTTGTTATCAATGAAATATGCCATTTGTTCCCCTTGGGAAATGCAGAATGTAATAAAACAGGGCTCCCTAAGTTTGCTTTCCTGAGCTGCTTAGGGATATTGTATAACAGAGGAAATGAATAAAACGATTTATCAATTTAAAAAAAAAAATTAAAAAATTTCACAAAATCTTGTTAAAAAAATAATTAATCCTCCCTATTTAATTAAGTATAAAAAATGTTACCTTTTCTAAACAATAGAAATCATTTGGTCCCTCTTTGTTTTGATCAGCTCACCCCCCTTTACCAGTCTCTGTAGATATGGAACATATATGTGTAATCTGTATTGTTCGTCATTTTATCGGAGAGTTATGATTTTCAACGGTTACTGCAATAATTATTTCCAAATTTATAAACGGACAATATTAGAAACGTTTGTTATACATCATGTCAGTACCGACGTTATGACTACTGAGCTGAGGATACCATCGGGGACTTATGTTCACTATCGCAAACGTGATATATTTGATGAGTCGTGTTGATCATATCAAGAATGTAGACATGTATCGGTAAACGATAGGAATAGAAAAGATCATTTTCATTTCCGCAAAACATGTTTCCTGAGTAAGACATCAGATAAACTGTCATAGTATGGTTAGTAAAGAAAAGTGATGCAATCTATCTATTTTGAATGTAAGTAAGAACTGTAATTACAAAGTCCAACAATTATCTTAAGTACTTTCCATAATGACATTAATTGATTGCGACTTTTACTACTAAAAGGTTCTGACTGCTTAAGGAAGTACACCACTAATTCATGGCCCCATTGCTTTCTATGTTAAATTCCACAATTTCAAGCAGGCACAGCTCTTTTGTTTTAAGTTCAAATAAAGTGACAATCATTGCATGTCAAAGCAACACTTTATGTTGTCTTGTACTGAAAAAATCAACATACCTTTAATGGTATATAAGAAAGAAATGGTTCCCGGAACTTCGGATGTACCAAAACAGGTACTTCAGATCTGGCAAAATGTACCCTCTTTTTTAAATTTGATGCAGATTTTTTAATATTCAAAATTATAAGTCAAAAAGTGATCTACAATGATCACCAGTCATTCAGCTTTCATTTGATACCAAAAATGCTTAAATATTCTACATATTTTGAAAGTTACACTATGCGTAGGAAGTATTTTGTGTTATATTTAACATTGCCATAAAAGCGGGAGGTTTGGCTAGCCACAAAACCAGGTTCAACCCACCATTTTTTCTTTAAATGTCCTGTACCAAGTCAGGAAAATGGCCATTGTTATATTATAGTTCGTTTCTGTGTGTGTTGCATTTTAGTGTTGTGTTTCTGTTGTGTCGTTGTTCTCCTCTTATATTTGATGTGTTTCCCTCAGTTTTAGTTTGTAACCCGGATTTGTTTTTTTTCTCAATCGATTTATAAATTTCGATTAGCGGTATACTAGTGTTGCCTTTATTTACAGCATCTTCGGATTTCCGACAAATTCACAGAAAGTAAAGGTGTCGTTATATAATAAAAGTGATTTGACGAATATTTGATCAGATGCAACCAACAGGTGCATAACAAAATCAATGGTATCCAACAAGTGTCATTTACAGTGAGTTGGATCCAGCATTTTTGGATTTTCCATCGTTTTCAAAATAAAAAAATCTAGCTCCTTTCCGATTTTAGCAACTCTTATATGACCTATTGATGAATAAGATCTTTGTTTATGGTTAACAGGTTCTCATAAATTCTGAGCAACCTGAACCCCACCATCTAAGTATGGTTATCTGTCTGCAGGAAATGGCAAACCAGTCACTTTTATGACTGAAATAACATACAATTTCATTTAATGAAGGTAAAAGTACTCTCTGATCTGTACTTTGTGTCTTTGTTAGTTTGTGCTTTGTATCGATCTGATGAGTTAAGCCCTTTTCAATACATATTTATAGTTTGTTATGTTGAACTGTTACACCACTGTCCAAGCCATAAATGGAGTATATAAACAGAAAAACACTCAAAGGCAAAAACTCTGTCTAATAAAATAATACTACTGGTTCTATTCACTGGTGAAACCGCCACCTATAAATTGTCAGCGATTTTCCACTGACAAAAAAAAATGTAATTTCTTTTTCGATATTTTGCAATTTTCACAAAATCGTGTGCTCCAGCTCGAGGACAAAGTTGAACTTGACAGGTTGGATATTCTTTTTAAGTCTTTTTCACTTTATACATCTTTAACAAATCTATGAACTGATGATCAAACCTGCAAATTTTGTATGTATGCTTCATCTTTGAAACTCTTTTGTTCTTGCATTAAATGATTGGTTGCAGTTTCAGTACTTGCTACCTAAACTAGAGGCTCTCAAGAGCCTGTGTCGCTCACCTGTATTTACTGATGCTTTGGATCATGTTAAATAAGGTTAAAATCATAATTAATAGTATTAGATATTAGATATTATAATGATATCTAAGATAATAACAAACTAGAGACTCTAAAGAGCCTGTGTCGCTCACCTTGGTCTATGTGCATATTAAACAAAGGACACAGATGGATTCATGACAAAATTGTGTTTTGGTGATGGTGATGTGTTTGTAGATCTTACTTTACTGAACATTCTTGCTCCTTACTATTATCTCTATCTATAATGAACTTGGCCTGGTAGTTACAGTGGAAAATATTTTGTAAAAATTTACCAAAATTTACAAAATTTATGAAAATTGTAAAAAATTGACAATAAAGGGCAATAACTCCTGAAGGGGTCAATTGACAATTTTGGTCATGTTGACTTATTTGTAGATCTAACTTTGCTGTACATTATTGCTGTTTACAGTTTATCTCTATCTATAATAATATTCAAGATAATAACCAAAAGCTGCAAAATTTTCTTAAAATTACCAATTCAGGGGCAGCAACCCAACAACGTGTTGCCTGATTGGTCTGAAAATTTCAGGGCAGATAGATCTTGAACTTATGAACAATTTTATCCTCAACAGATTTGCTCTAAATGCTTTGGTTTCAGAGATATGAGCCAAAAACTGCATTTTACCCTATGTACTATTTTTTAGCCATGTCGGCCATCTTGGTTCGCGGGCGGGGTCATCGGACACATTTTTTAAACTAGATACCCTAATGATGATTGTGGACAAGTTTGGTTAAATTTGTCTTAGTAGTTTCAGAGGAGAAGATTTTTGTAAAAGATTACAAAAACTTACGAAAAATGGTTAAAAATTGACTATAAAGGGCAATAACGCCTTAACGGGTCAACTGACCATTTTGGTCAAGTTGACTTATTTGTAGATCTTACTTTGCTGAACAGTATTGCTCTTTACAGTTTATCTCTATCTATAATAATATTCAAGATAATAACCAAAAACTGCAAAATTTCCTTAAAATTACCAATTTAGGGGCAGCAACCCAACAACAGGTTGTCCGATTCATCTGAAAATTTGAGGGCAGATAGATCTTGACCTGATAAACAATTTTATCCAGTCAGATTTGCTCTAAATGCTTTGGTTTCAGAGATATTAGCCAAAATCTACATTTAACCCGTATGTTCTATTTTTAGCTATGGCGGCCATCTTGGTTGGTTGGCCGGGTCACTGGACACATTTTTTAAACTAGATACCCCAATGATGATTGTGGCCAAGTTTGGTCAAATTTGGCCTAGTAGTTTCAGAGAAGAAGATTTTTGTAAAAGTTAACGACGACGACGACGGACGACGGACGCCAAGTGATGAGAAAAGCTCACTTGGCCCTTTGGGCCAGGTGAGCTAAAAACTGCAAAATTTTTGTAAAATTACTAACTCAGGGGCAGCAACCCAACAACGGATTGTCGGATTCGTCTGAAAATTTCAGGGCAGATAAATTTAAATCTGATGAACATTTTTGCCACCTGTCAGATTTGTTCTAAATGCTTAAGTTTCAGAGATATAAACCAAAAACTGCATTTTACCCCTATGTTCTATTTTTAACCAAGTCGGCCATGATGGTTGGAAAGCGGGGTCATCGGACAAATTTTTTAAACTTGATACCCTAATAATGATTATGGCCAAGTATGGTTAAATTTGTCTCAGTAGTTTCAGAGAAGAAGATTTTTGTAAAAGATTTCAAAAATTTACGAAAAATTGTTAAAAATTGACTATTAAGGGCAATAACTCCTAAAGGGGTCGACTGACAATTTTGGTCATGACAACTTATTTGTAGATCTTACTTTGCTGAACATAATTGCTGTTTACAGTTTATCTCTATCTATAATAATATTCAAGATAATAACCAAAAACTGCAAAATTTCCTTAAAATTACCAATTTAGGGGCAGCAACCCAACAACGGGTTGTCCGATTTATCTGAAAATTTGAGGGCAGATAGATCTTGACCTGATAAACAATTTTACCGAAGTCAGATTTGCTCTAAATGCTTTGGTTTCACAGATATAAGCCAAAATCTACATTTTACCCCTACGTTCTATTTTTAGCCATGGCGGCCATCTTGGTTGGTTGGCCGGGTCACTGGACACATTTTTTAAACTAGATACCCCAATGATGATTGTGGCCAAGTTTGGTCAAATTTGGCCCAGTAGTTTCAGAGGAGAAGATTTTTGTAAAAGTTAACGACGACGACGACGGACGCCAAGTGATGAGAAAAGCTCACTTGGCCCTTTGGGCCAGGTGAGCTAAAAACTGCAAAATTTTTGTAAAATTACTAACTCAGGGGCAGCAACCCAACAACGGATTGTCGGATTCGTCTGAAAATTTCAGGGCAGATAAATTTAAATCTGATGAACATTTTTGCCACCTGTCAGATTTGTTCTAAATGCTTAAGTTTCAGAGATATAAACCAAAAACTGCATTTTACCCCTATGTTCTATTTTTAACCAAGTCGGCCATGATGGTTGGAAGGCGGGGTCATCGGACAAATTTTTTAAACTTGATACCCTAATAATGATTATGGCCAAGTATGGTTAAATTTGTCTCAGTAGTTTCAGAGAAGAAGATTTTTGTAAAAGATTACAAAAATTTACGAAAAATTGTTAAAAATTGACTATTAAGGGCAATAACTCCTAAAGGGGTCGACTGACAATTTTGGTCATGACAACTTATTTGTAGATCTTACTTTGCTGAACATAATTGCTGTTTACAGTTTATCTCTATCTATAATAATATTCAAGATAATAACCAAAAACTGCAAAATTTCCTTAAAATTACCAATTTAGGGGCAGCAACCCAACAACGGGTTGTCCGATTTATCTGAAAATTTGAGGGCAGATAGATCTTGACCTGATAAACAATTTTACCGAAGTCAGATTTGCTCTAAATGCTTTGGTTTCACAGATATAAGCCAAAATCTACATTTTACCCCTACGTTCTATTTTTAGCCATGGCGGCCATCTTGGTTGGTTGGCCGGGTCACTGGACACATTTTTTAAACTAGATACCCCAATGATGATTGTGGCCAAGTTTGGTCAAATTTGGCCCAGTAGTTTCAGAGGAGAAGATTTTTGTAAAAGTTAACGACGACGACGACGGACGCCAAGTGATGAGAAAAGCTCACTTGGCCCTTTGGGCCAGGTGAGCTAAAAACTGCAAAATTTTTGTAAAATTACTAACTCAGGGGCAGCAACCCAACAACGGATTGTCGGATTCGTCTGAAAATTTCAGGG